GAAAATTTTCGAGAATCTTGTAGAAACTCGGGGAACATCATTGAGCTTCAGGATTTTTTCTGTAATTCTTTCGAACTTCGTAAAATTCCAGCAACTTTACCGATGTTCAGGAGACAGCGTAGTCATTCAGGAAATTTAAGAGAAAATCGGAGAACTTCATGAAGCTTCCGAGAATGTCGTAGACAGCTTTGTTAAAATTCAGGAAAACTTTATTGAAGTGGGAACTTCAGTTTGAGGAACTTTGTTGAAGTTTAGCTAACCTTGTTTCATTTCAGGAAACTTCATAAACATGTTCCAGGACTTTCTCCTAATTACAGGGTATTTCGTTAATGATTTTTGTTCGTTTAAGAAATTCCGTAGAAGTTCAGGAAACTTCGCAGAAAAGCTTCAAACGTGAAGTTAATTTTGTAGAAGGGAATTTTTTTAAAGATCAAGCAACTTCGAAAAACTTCGGCAAACTTTGTAGAAGTTCAGGAAGTTTCCTATATGCTCAGAACATTGTTTAGATTCTCAGAAATTCATCAAACTTCTTAGAACATTAAGGATCTTCGTATCAGTTTAGGGAGCTTCGTTTCAGGAAAATTCCTAGAAAAAATCAGGTTCTTCCCGGAAGTTTGAAGAAGTTGATAGATGTTATGAGACCGAATAAAAAAATATGGATCTTAAGAAGTTAAGACATTTTTTGAGGTTATGGGAACTTTGTACATGATAACAGAACATTTGTTCAAAAAATTAAAAGTTGTAAGCTATAGCAACATATTTGAAGTACTGGGAACTTCGTAGAAGTTGACGAAAAATCTCAGGAGTTCGTCGAACATTCCACATATTCAAAGAACTTTATAGAGGCTTTGAGTTCATTCAACTGAGTTTAAGTTCAAGAAACTTCTTGAAAGTACAGGAATCTTTGTAGAAGTTCAGGAAGTGTCGCTGAATGTTAGATGACTTTGTGAATTTTCACGGATTTTCGATGAGATATCAGTGAAGTTCTTTGCATATTATTCAAGACATTTCAAGTTGATCAAGTAATGTTCTGAAGAATTGAAACTGTTCAAAAAATTAAATGTCGTCTTTTAGATATCCTTCCAAACAGAAGTTTGATTGGAAAGTACTTGAAGTAAATACAGCTGATCGGAGATTTAAAGCCCTCTGGATGTTTCAAGCCTTCAGATTGATCAATTATTATTCTTAAGATATTCAACTGTTCATAACATTCAAATTACGTCTCCAGATAGTCTCTCTAGATTGCTGGTTGATCAGAGATTAGTAAATTAAGGTTGATCAGGAAGATCGGAAGATCCTAAATTGGTCAAAACTTCAACAGGATCTCTCCAGATGGCAGGTCGGTCCGGAAGTATTTAAAAGATCTCCAGTTGATCAATGATTTCAATTAGGTCCTCTGGATATTTTTCAAAGCTTCAGGTTGATCAAGCATTATTGTGAAGATATTCTTCCAAAATGCACGTTGATAAAGAAGTATTCAACAGATATCCAGCTAATTGCAGATTTCAGTGAAGTCCTGTGAATATTCAAGTGAATCATGTTTTATTCTGAAATATCTGATTTTGGTTACATGATTCATATTAGACATTTTCATTATTTATCAAAAATGTTCATATGCCAGCTTAAGAAGTCTTCTTCAGATTCATCATGCCTTCAAACAACTTCACAAATCTTGAAAAGTCTGCAAAATGTACGCATGCAAAAAAAACCTTCACAAAATTTTAACTGTCAGCTAAATGAAAACATATCTTAAAATCTGGTGTCCCTGGTATTGAAAAAATCTTTTATTTTATTATTCGTTCGAAGGAGATGAACAGTGAAAAAAGAAATCAAATATGCATTGCAGAACATCGTTAAAAAATAATTAGAAAAATACGACTCTTAAAATAATCTTTATTCACTGCCCAGGATCCCGGGATCTCCCGGGATTTCAAATAAATATTTCCCGAATCTCGGGATGGTGGGTACCCCCGGGAAACGGAAGCTCTAATTGCAAGAACTGCCATTTGTTGTATGAAACATATGCAGAGGATGTAATAAATCCAACCTTACATTGAGTGTAAGAGAAATTTGTAGTAGACCACATGAATTTACTAAATTGCCTCTCCATATAATTCTGTGTTAAATTCCTACGGAATGTTTCCATGGAAATCGCTTGATGTACCCTCCAGACTTCCAGACACCTTCGAATTTTCTTGGAATTTGTTTCAGCATTGCCTTGGAATATTTATCAGGATTTCCCTAAAATTCTCCCAGAACTTTTTTAAAGTTTTCTTCTCTGAATTATTGTCTGAATCCCTTTAAAATAGCATAAAAATTCCCTTGATATTCCCTTAAAATCAACCTCTTCAGAATTTCTTTTAAATCATCCTAAAAATTCCCTTCAAAACACTAGCCAGACTGAGCAGTTATAACATGTTTAGACCTATCTCGATTGCATTTTTCTTGAGTATTAGAAGATGTTATGACTCTGTAGTTTCTTGAATCCTGGTGAATGTGGTCGTCTTAGTGGAATACCTGTATAAAGCGAGAGAGAGAGAGAGAGAGAGAGAGAGAGAGAGAGAGAGAGAGAGAGAGAGAGAGAGAGAGAGAGAGAGAGAGAGAGAGAGAGAGAGAGAGAGAGAATTAGTAATTTCCATTTAATTCCACTACCTTATTTGCTTATGCTTGACATATACGCGTATTTCGTCTGCAATGTGTAGACTAGCATTGAGCGATCTTGAGGCAAGAATCGATCTTAGTGAATCGATTTTTTTTTTAAATAAACGATTCACCTATTTAATCAATCATTTTGAATCGATTTAATTTTCAAAATGACAAAAAATGTTTCAAGTATAGCGGATCACAGGAAAGTTGGTGAAGATTAACGCCAAGTTCAGTTTAAAGTTGATATTACGTTACATTAGCTATCTTGTTATGACATGCCTGTTTTCTCGCTTTAGTCGTGGGCGGTGAAAGCAAACAAATGGAGATGTCCATAGAGATAAAGCTGACGATCAGATTCAGCTTGTCAAATGGAACCATGGGCGAAATTATCTTTTTACACGAATCCCGTTCAGATGATCGCTACATATGGGATTGCGGAGGAGGATTCTTTGTTCCTAAAGTTCAAGGCAGAGGAAGCGGTGCTTCATTGCTTGTTGCATAACCGGAAGCCTGCGGGGGACAACGTCCAATACGTGCGAGTGTATGATCTTCCTCCGAGGTTCCGGACTGCGATCTAGCGTTGGTGCTCGGGAAATACTGTTTGTGGTTATGTGAAGCGTGTCATTCGAGAGAAATTCCCTGCGGACTTGGGTCTCGACATATACATATGTGGACGTTAAAAAGGAAATTTCCAACTCAATGTATTTTCTCAACCGGAAGGGGAACATATTTTAAGAGATCAAACATTTGTGTTTCTTTGGTATGGCGGGGCATCGGTTGAATTCCTGTCCCAAGCGGAAGGACCGGAAGCAGCCAGTTAAACAACAACAAGGAGACGAAAACCAACAACCGAAGTACCAGCCGTATGCTGGTGTAGTGACTAGAGGTGCATCGTCAATAGACAACGGCACAGAGGAACAGCGGCTATGAGACAATGGCTCTTTTTGTATCTTCATAGATCTCAACCAACAGTAGAGATCGATTGAACCAATTCGTACACTGGTGTTGTTTTTCAAAGCAGTCTACACCTTAGTTGACTCAAATCAATTACTACCGAAATTTGTTAGGCGAATTACTTAGTTTTAAGTATAGTGTTTCATTAATTAGGGCAATAGTTGTTCGATGAATTACATTAAACTGGGGTCTACAGAGGACTTAGGGACTAGGTTCGTTTGACAATTTTAATAAACTTTGGTAGAGCTAAGTGTATGAAGGAAGCTTAATAAGACTTATAAGGTATTGAGGTACAGAGAGCATCTCCATAATTGTTAAGGGGTCGGGGCAGATTACCAGAACTTTGAACTAATTCGATCGTCTCCTCTTGCTCTAGGTTCTTTGGTTGCTGACATAGTCCATATTACTCGGCTTAGAAATTTTGTTCTAGTAGTCCTTCGTGCTAACTTCATTCCAGATCTTGTTAGCTTTCATGAACTTGCTATAGATGTCCTCTTAGCATTTCTTGCGGTCGATATTTTCTGGATTTCTACTCGTTTTTTCATAGTCGGGGTAATCATGGTTAGTAGCTCTAATATATGAAATTGGCCCAAAAATCCATAAGTTTAGGAACACATGTCATCATCCCTTGCTTATCCCATGAAACCTCCATTCTCCAATTATATTTTGAACACCTAGAAACCCCGTTCCCTTCTACAACCCACTGGAAATTTGGCAATGCCAACGCCAACGCCAGCCAGAATTAGCAATTCCAAAACAACCCTCATTATCGTGCACTTGGCTTTTGCATTCTAATTACGTTTTGCTCAATTTGGAACACCTAACTTGACTCATCGTCTGCAGTCTGGTTGAATAAAAACAAAGCTTCGCATAAATACACTTTCAAACCTGCTGGTAGGTACAGCCGCGGCATCCGTCATCATGGTCGTCATCGTCGTCGCTTCCATTCGAATCACCTTCATCATCTTCCGTTCATTCCCGGGCATGTGTGCATGTCAGACGGTCTTCTTCCAGATCTCCTCCATCCACTGCCGTCACCACCTTCCATTCAAATCGAGCTATTACACTGCATCTCATTACATTCTCTGTAGTGTGAGCGAGGCACGCGTTTCATGTGTTTTACTCTGATGTGCATGCATTCATATGAATTATTTTTAACGGTAGCGCCTCAGTGAACTGCGTTCCAGCTGTATAGACAAACAGCATCAGCTGCAAATCAAGATCAAATCGGTCTCGGACGTAGGAAGGTTCTGGGCAATGGGAGCGATCCATCGGGCGTTATATTTTCTGAACTCCTAGCTTCGCCGGTGGCCTGTCAGTGCATGACGAAAATAGCACCATCCCACAATCCATTCTTGAGCACTGTTTTTAACTGCTTGTTTTGTTCTGCTCTCTTCCAGATCCAACAAAGCGGAGAAAAATGCAGACGGTTTACAGGAAATCGAACGGGAGGTCGACCGGTACAAAGACATTCTTCAGAACCTCAACAAACGGATAGCGACGACCGTGGCCGCTGGCCAACCCCAGGATGCTGCCGCCAAAGAGAAACGGGTTCGCAAGGTTCCGGAGTTTCAGCTCGGTCAGCTGATGGAAGATTCGGTTAAGGACCTACCGGCCGGATTGCTGCGGGATGTGCTCGATAGAAGCGGTATGTTTGCACCATCTGTCTTTAGTCCTGACCCCTTGTCAATTAATCGGGTGATTCTATTTTTAGCCCGCCTGGAAAAGACCATCGCGTCGGAAATCATCATCAATGAGGTCAGCATAGAGAATTCGGTCAGCAAAAATCTGAACGATATCATCGAGCGGCACCTGGCAACGATCCAGAAGCAGAAACGCACCGTCAGCAAATGTCACCAGGAGTACGAAGCCACAAGGCAAAAGTATGATGTAAGTATGATGCCGTCCGGGTCCGAGTCTAACGCAATCGTGATGAGTTCATTACGGGCGATGATTCATGTGGAACTGGCTTTTGGAACCTTCCGATAAAGCGGCTATAGCTGCGGGGAGTTTAATCACTCGGACTCCTCATCGGGTTGTTATTACTAAAACTGGCTGCCAGCTAGTAGAAGGTTGTTGTTGTTCCTACAACTACATCATCGCTATTATACATGTTTATCGCTGCGGTGTGGTGGGTTTCAATGTTTTTGAAATGGCTTTCTGCTGTGTTATTGCTTATGGAAAATGCTAAGCGTGTGCAAATCTCGCAACTCAATGAATGGCGAATGATTCATAGATGATGCTTGGTGGCGGTGTTTGGAGAAAGAGGTTATCTGGGATGCATTGTTTGGATTTTGCAGTACAATGAACTTGACATTCTTATTTCAGTAATATGGATTGTTCAATGAGGTTTAAATCAATTATCATTGTAACCAAACGGTATTTTCTTGATTGACGACTAATAGATAAATAAATCAAAATTTACTGTTATGTATCTTATTTTTATTACTACAGTTGATTTCGGTTTGTTTACACAGAAATACTGAGAGCATAACACTGTTGAATCAAACGTAACATAAATCTTGCTTTCAATTATATCAATTTGGATACTGATTTTACATTCATAATATTTAACGGCGCAAATAGCTAGCATTCGTGCTTCTCACGTTTAAAACACTACATAATGAAGGTTAATTTGATATCAGACTTATTTCTCGACTTAATATCGGTTTGTTTTCATTTTGTTAACCGACTTTGCTCGGGTAGTAAATAATAGCTATCTACATTTTCAGCTTAATTCAAAATATCCACATTAGACATTATTAAGGATTTTTTTAATTGCGCGAAATTAGGACTTAGGTGCATTGCACTTAAGGTAATTATTTTTGTTAAACACAGTATGATTTTCAATTTTTTAACATCGACAACCCCGGAGAATTGAAGATTATGATGATCTATAGTTGTATTTTATTGTGTTAAATACCAAGTGCATATCGTTCTGAGAATATTTTCTACAAGTTCAAACATAGGGGACGGCCTCGTCACACGCCAAATTCAAGTCCTTGGGTACGAAAGTGACCCCGTTGGCTTCGTACCACTCCAGGATAACATTTGAATAGTGGCACGAAGCTAGATCCGGCCAGAAGATCGTAGGGTCCTCTTGTTACTTCAACAGAGGAAGCAGACGCTTCTGTAGACACTTCTTTAGGTAGATCTTCCCGTTTACAGTACCGGTAGTGACGAACGGCGCAAACTTTGGAAGTTTCTGCTTCCTTACTTCCTCCGGAACATCAAACTTGTGCTGGGAGGTCAAGAACAGTAGCCCCGGAAGCTGCCGGAAGTCCGCCTTGACGTAAGTCTCATCATCCATGATGAGACAATGAGGCTTCCTCAGCATATTGGTGTACAGTTTCCGGGCCCGTGACTTTCCCACCGTATTTTGCCATTCGTCACGATTTGGAACCTTCTGCACTTTGTACATATGCAGCCCCTCCCGATTCTTGGCTCTCTGAACGAAAGGCTTGGACAGATTCAACTTTTTGGCCACATCCCTGATCACTAATACAACATCCATTCGGACCGCATTTCTCCTTCCGATCGATGCTCAGAGTTTCGTACATTTAATCACACGACTCACTGTCGACTGCACGATTCCGAGTTGTTTTCCGATGTCCCAATGAGAGAGTTGAGGATTTTCCAGGTGCTTGCGCAAAATCAATTCGCGACGTTGCTTTTCGGGTGACGCCATTTTTTCCAACTTTCGAAAAAATGACAGCGATAAAAATACAGTGTAAACAATATACTCTAAACTGCTTCTACCCAAAATTTCAAGAGAAAATACCCAATGGGTAATTTTCTACAGCGTTTTTTCCGTGATGCAATTTGATGTGGGACACCCTTTAACTCAAATATTTGATCAAATGGACCTCTTTTGAATAAGGCCTGTACTCGAAAAAAAAAAATGCACCCGACAAAAGTGTTCGCCAAAAATTTATTTTAAGTCGGATTTTCTTGAAACTTTCAGGGAATGAACTGATACATATGGATTATGTTTCGGCATAATTACTTTATTCAATTTCCTTTCCATCGCTGAAAGCCCGCACCTTTCCCTTAAGACCGCTCATTACATTTTGTGCAATGGTGGAGCCGACCTTTTTGGTCACTTTCATCAATTCTTTCTTCAACTCCAGCTCGTTCTTAAACACCTTGGACGATTTTCGAACTCTGGCCTTAATTATGGCCGAAAATCTTTCCACCGGATGAATCCCTGTTGAATTTGGGGGCTTAGCGGTTTTTGGTACAAAAACAACGTTATTGTCTCTGTACCAATCCAACGTCGATCGCTCGTAATGGCATGATGCCAGGTCCGGCCAAAATAATGTCTCGCCTGGAGGCACTCGGTGCGGTAAATTCCGCAGTTGATGGTACCCTTTGTGATGTACGGTTTACTCAGTTACGCATTGGCATATGGCCTGCCAGAGAAGTATTTTTGGCGAATTTGTCCACTTTCTTCTTCCTTATGTCTTCCGGAACATCAAACCGTGATTTGGCAACGTAGAACTCCAGCCCCGGTATCTGCTTTGCGTCTGCCTTGATGTAGGTTTCGTCATCCATAACCACATACATCGGTTTCGTTAACCACCCTCGATACAACTTCATTGCGCGGGATTTGGCCGCCGGGTTCGGTGCCTTCCGGACCTTGAATACACGAAGCCCAGCTCGTTTCATGGTTTGCTGAACGAACCAGGCAGAACACTTTGCCTTCAGAGCCGCGTCTCGTCGGATTACGCTTGAAATAATCCAACACCTTTCGGGCCTTCACAGGGTCAGCTGTCTTCAATTTTCTTCCACTTCCAGCCCGCCGCTCGGTCGTCTGGAACTCCTTGAACGATTTTACCACCCGAGACACAGTTGTATGGGTGATGCCCAGTTGTCTTCCGATCCATCTCATGGTCGCAGTCGGATTTTCCATTACGGCGCGCAAAATTCTCCGGCGATTTTCTTCTTGTTTCGATGACATCTCAATAACCACTGAACCGATTGTTATGAAATTTTGCACATGTAAACAATTCACTCCAAACTAGTTATACCCAGATTTTCATCAATTTTTATCCACGGATAAAAAAACACACGGATAAACATGGTGCATTTTTTCGAGTACAATCCTTACTTCCTGAAAACAATAAAATATGTAGTGGATTTTATTGATCTTTCAAAAATTCGTGACTATCAACGAAGTTCTTTAACATTATACCAAGTTACCAGACTGTCTACAGACCCAACTAACATTTTCAGCTTTGTAAGCCAACTTTTCCAGCGTTGTGCTGTAAAGTAGCTGCAGATACAGCTACAAGCAGAAGCTAGCAAACTGGTTTTGGAGAGCGTTTGCTCAACTTTTTCACAATCATTATTCAATGTGTCAGTACTACTGAATAACAGCAGCCAATAAACGCTAATGTCACGTCTATGCAAATATTAATCAACTTTTAAATTGTATGTATGTATGTATGTAAGTAGCCACCATCCTAGCTTGGGTCTTGCCCTGCATGCGGCTCCACTCAACAGCAAGATCAAATTCCGTCATCATTCTGAATTCAACATACTGCTGTATGAAGGGCCAAAAAGGGTTGGACGGGCCCGTAAGCAGAGGCACTTACGCGAAACCCGCGGGAATAAGAGAATCTCCTTCCAACAATATGATCCAACAAAATGAATAACGAAATTCGCAATACATGTTAAGCTTTCCACGGGATGGTTTGTTAAAGAAGAGCGCGTCAAATTCATTGCAACTGTTGGAGTGAAATGTAACTATCTAAAATGACAGTACACATTCCCTCCTAGACTCCGGTTGGCACTCCACTCCATTGTCCAGTTACAACTTCAATGATGCCCTGATGCTCCCTCCCCTCCCAGTATTTATTGTAATTTACATTATGAACTTATATATAATCATGTAATATATAATGTATATAAAATATGTAGTAGAATGAAAAATATAATAAAAAATAAAGATGTTTTACAAAATACAAATAACCTAGATTATTGGGTCCTATACACACACTTTTTGTTTTATGTGCCATGAAATGACATAATGCATAATTGTATGTTTTGAAAATATAATACTGAAGTATTGAATCAATAGACCGAAAATCGAGGTTATTTGGACATGAGATATTATATTTAAAAGGATACTACCAAACCGACCATCAAACGCACTGCCCACACAAGCAGACACGTCCCCTCGAAAATGCAATCGAGGAATGTACAAGAACAATCCTCAACTGGAACGTACTCACCAAATCAGTATATCCGGGAGCGCATTCCTGATGTCGTCAAACGGCAAAAGAAGGGAACTCGGTGAGAACATTTGTGATACGGAATTTTCACTGAAAACAACCGTGAATTTCACCATCTAACTGCGAAACACGTTCAGAAGCACTTTTGGTACAATTTCGATATCAATTTCTTTCGAAAATACTTAATTATTTTTTTTGCAAAAATTGTTGCAAGTGAACCAACATCAACACCGATCGTGCCAAGCTCTTTCACGCACCTTGCAGCGCGTATATGAAATGAAATTACAAATTATCACTCGCGATGCCACAAATATCTGGTCGGGGATTAAAAAAAATCAAACAACTCAGAAAGCGCCAAATCTTCTGACGCTTGCAAACATGATGAATCACGTTTTCTTTCTCGATTCTAAAACTTCCCAGAAAGCGAGAAAACCACCAATCACACACGTATAACCGCCCGGGAGGCAGAGTGCCAGCGCTAATCCGACAATTGCAGCCGAAAACTATGAAAGCGAACGCACGCACAAAACAGAGAACAAACTCAACCGTATCCAAAGGGGTTCCGTGCGCGACTGATTAATCAACTTTTAAATTGTAGTTGCAAAACAAAGCTAATAAAGTAAATATATTACTCATTAAATGGCTTCTACACAA